TTCCGAGCACAAGACATAGTGGATGTAATGGTCTGGTTGCTTCTGGTTCTGCCTCTCATGATGATCTTTCTTCTCAGCTTACATAACTCATTAACAAGTTGTCTTCACTCTCTTCAAGTTTGTTTGCTTCTACTACCAGTGTTGCTAATGGAGGTACCGCAACATGCATTGTTTACTCAACCTTCTTCGTCTTCTTGGATCATTGATTCGGAACCTAATGCTCATATGTCTGGAATGTCCTCCATATTCTCTAATTTTTGTGCGTCAAACTCATGTATTGTGTTAGCTGATGATTCTTTTCAACCAATACATGGGACTGGTGATCTTAGTCCTACTCAGTCCTTGCCATTAATTAATGATTTGTTCATTCCTAATTTTTTCTTTAATTTGTTATTTTTGAATCAGTTAACCAACTCCTTACAGTGTTAAATAACGTTTTCTCTATCTTGTGTTTTTTAGGATCTCAAGATGAAAAATATGATTGGTATGGGACATGAGCGCAATAACCTTTATTACCTGGATCACAAAAGTTCCTTTCCTGCCTTTAAGTACAACCGTGTCTCCTCTACAAAGTCATATTCGACTAGGTCATCCTTTATTACAAAAGTTGCATCAAGCCATCTCTAGTTTGAGTTAATCTTCTATGTTAGAATGCAAAGTTTGTCAATTAGGCAAACATCACCGTAATTCTTTTCCTTCTAACTCTTCACATCATCAATTTAGTCTTTTTCATGTTATTTATACAGACATTTGGGGCCCTGCGAGAGTTAAAAGTACTTCTGGTTTTTAATATTTTGTGATCTTTATTGATAATTTTTCTCGTATAACTTGGTTATTTCTTATGAAAGGCCAATCTGAGTTATCCAAGGACTTTACCACCTTTTATAATGAAATTCTAACCCAATTTGGTGTCCATATTCTTAGGTCTGATAATGCCCTTGAATATACTAAATCATTTATAAAAATCTTTTGTGCTAACCGTAGCATTATCCATCAAACCACATGTCCTCATAAACATTGTCATTTGTTGGATGTTGCCTATACCTTGAAGTTCAACATGCATGTGTCAAAACCATATTGGGCNAAAAAATTTCTAACTGTGTCCTATACATATCCTGACCGTGTTCAACTAAGTTTACTATTCATGATTCTTCTAGCCGTGTTGGACACGTGTCCGGCCGTATCCTGGTCGTGCCCGTGTCGAACATGTGTTTGGCACTGCCACGGCTCTCTTGTGAAAATATCTGTGCTTCCGAGCACAAGACATAGTGGATGTAATGGTCTGGTTGCTTCTGGTTCTGCCTCTCATGATGATCTTTCTTCTCAGCTTACATAACTCATTAACAAGTTGTCTTCACTCTCTTCAAGTTTGTTTGCTTCTACTACCAGTGTTGCTAATGGAGGTACCGCAACATGCATTGTTTACTCAACCTTCTTCGTCTTCTTGGATCATTGATTCGGAACCTAATGCTCATATGTCTGGAATGTCCTCCATATTCTCTAATTTTTGTGCGTCAAACTCATGTATTGTGTTAGCTGATGATTCTTTTCAACCAATACATGGGACTGGTGATCTTAGTCCTACTCAGTCCTTGCCATTAATTAATGATTTGTTCATTCCTAATTTTTTCTTTAATTTGTTATTTTTGAATCAGTTAACCAACTCCTTACAGTGTTAAATAACGTTTTCTCTATCTTGTGTTTTTTAGGATCTCAAGATGAAAAATATGATTGGTATGGGACATGAGCGCAATAACCTTTATTACCTGGATCACAAAAGTTCCTTTCCTGCCTTTAAGTACAACCGTGTCTCCTCTACAAAGTCATATTCGACTAGGTCATCCTTTATTACAAAAGTTGCATCAAGCCATCTCTAGTTTGAGTTAATCTTCTATGTTAGAATGCAAAGTTTGTCAATTAGGCAAACATCACCGTAATTCTTTTCCTTCTAACTCTTCACATCATCAATTTAGTCTTTTTCATGTTATTTATACAGACATTTGGGGCCCTGCGAGAGTTAAAAGTACTTCTGGTTTTTAATATTTTGTGATCTTTATTGATAATTTTTCTCGTATAACTTGGTTATTTCTTATGAAAGGCCAATCTGAGTTATCCAAGGACTTTACCACCTTTTATAATGAAATTCTAACCCAATTTGGTGTCCATATTCTTAGGTCTGATAATGCCCTTGAATATACTAAATCATTTATAAAAATCTTTTGTGCTAACCGTAGCATTATCCATCAAACCACATGTCCTCATAAACATTGTCATTTGTTGGATGTTGCCTATACCTTGAAGTTCAACATGCATGTGTCAAAACCATATTGGGCTAATGTTATTCTTACTTCAGTTTATCTTATTAATCGCATGTTTTCCCCCATTTTGGATAATAAATCTCCCTTCTTATTACTTTATCCTGATAAACTGTCATTTGGTCTCACTTCTCATGTCTTTAGTTATGTTGCATTTATTCATCTCTTTGGTTTGGGTAGGGATAAACTTTCACCTCACTCGGTTAAGTGTCTTTTGGGGATATTTTCGTACTCAAAAAAAAGTTATTCTTACTATGACCCTATTTATCGTTGATACTATCACAGTGTTGTTGTTACCTTTTTTGAGTTATCCTCCTTTTCTGTGTCGGGTGATATACTTTCTTCATATTTAGTCTTTTCCAGTTAAGGGGAGCCCTTGTTACCTATTGTGTTAGACTGTGCATCTTCTTCCTCCCCAAGTCCTCCTCATCCCTTGCAGGTTTATCATCTTCCAAGGATAGACATATGCTCCAACTCCACAACCATTATTTGATTCGACTAAGGTCCTGCCCCTGAGCCGTCAGCTAGTTCATTATCTTTTAATTTGCCTATTACACTAAGGAAAGGTACCCTTAATTGTGCAAAGCATCTCATTTCTAATTTTGTTCTTTGCATCGACTTTCACTATCTGTGTGTTGTTTTGCATTGACTCTGCTTTTCGGTATTTGTTCCTATTTGTTTAAAACAAGCATTAGTATCTCCTGGTTGGAAACTAGCTAGGGATGAGGAAATGAAAACCCTTAATGAGAATCAGGCATGAGACCTTACTTCTCTTCCTTCTATAAACAGTCTGTCAGTTGTCATTGGGTATACACACTGAAGTATCATATTGATAGTTCAGTTGAGCTTTTGAATGCCCCACTGGTTGCCAGAGATTACATCTAGACATATAGTATGGATTACTGTAAGACTTTCTCTCCTATTGCTCGTCTTAACTTTGTTAGAGTTCTTATTTCTGTTGTAGTGAGTTGTGATTGGCCTCTGTATTAATTGGACATCAAGAATGCTTTTTTACATGGATACCCGTAGGAGGAAGTATTTATGGTACAACCTCCAGGTTATATTGTATCTATTAGGAACTATTAGTGTGTCCTCTGAAGAAAGTCCTATATGGTCTGAAGTAATCACCATGTGCTTGGTTTGATAAATTTAGTACTGTAATACTTCGGTATGGTTTTCAGCATTCTACATCAAATCATTTAGTTTTTATTCGTCATTCTTCCACTGGTGTTATTATTCTTATTGTGTATGTTGATGAAATTATCATTAGCGGTGATGACTCAGATGGTATTGCTTACTTTAACATTCATTTGGAGAAAGCAATTTCATACCAAAGACCTAGGTTTTCTTCAGTATTTTATTGGGATTGAAATTGATCGGTCAAAGGAAGGTATCAATTTGTGCCAACGAAAACATATATTGGATTTATTATCTGAAATTGGTACTCTTGGTGTACATCGAGCTAATAACCCCATGAATTCCATGGTTAAGTTGGATGCTGATAGTAGTGAAATTTTTGATAATGTAGGTCGTTATCGAAGGTTGGTTGGTAAAGCTGATTTACCTTACAGCTACACGCCCTGATATTAGTTATATTGTTGGAGTGGTTAATTAGCTCATGCATGATCCTCGTAAACCTCATTGGAAAGCTATTTGTCATATTTTTCAGTAATTGAAAGGAGCACCAGATAAAAGATTATTATATTGTCCTTCATCCTCCATGATTGTTACTGGTTTTTCTAATGCTGAGGGGGCAAATATTCGTACCGATAGACGATCTATATCAGGTTATTGTATATTTATTGGTGGCAAAACATAATATGTTTGCACGCTCGAGTGCAGAGGCTGAATACCAAGCCATGGCTCATATTGCACGAGAGATGCGGGTTCGTTCATTACTTCGTGATATGGGTATCATTGTGCCCTCTCTTACAGAGATGCATTGTGACAACCAAACAACTATTTTCATTGTCAGCAATTCGATATTTCATGAGACTAAACATATTGAAGTACATTGTTATTTTATTCGAGATCTCTTAATGCGTAAGGAGATTATCACACCAAACATCAAGTCTAGTAATCACTTGGGTGATATCCTTACAAAACTATTGTCTCAATCTGTCTTCAATAATCTTTGTTCCAAGTTGAGAATTTTTTATTTTTATACTCCAGCTTAAGGGGGAGTGTTAGAGTCCTTATTTATACTATTAGTTGTGTAGAGTACTATTGTAATTTCCCTAATATCAGTTTGCTTTATAAATAAGAGAATGTAGGACAACATAGCCTACATAACTGATTATTTGTCTTAATCTCTTTCTCCTCTCTTCCTCCTTTCTTCTCTTTCTCATAAACCCTAATATCTACTTTTCCTTTTAACTCGTGTGAAAGCATCTTCAAGACAAGTAAACAATAACCCGTTATGTAGCATCCATTGTTGCAGGTCAACAGGGCATGGGCATCCAAAAGATATGGAAACATTCATAATTCACATCACAGATGAAACAAGTAGGTTGTGCTTTTCATGTCATTAGTTTAAGCAATGCACAGCACTAAGGATTGAGGATTACAAGAGATCATCACTAATATAAACAAGCTCCCTATGAGAGCTTCAATTTCACAAAGCTATCATCTTAGCTCGGCCAACAAAGAAAACTTGTTCTTGCTTTCACAAGACAATGTACAGTGAAAAAGATCTTTAGGCAAAGCATGTAATTCTAATGTCAGTCACATTCAACAGCTCTGAATCCATGAAGCACGATAATCTTAAAAGCTGATTGCAAGGGAAGACAAATGTCCTGCAACATTTAATCTCACCCTTCCGCCCCGTTTTAGAACTCAGAGCTCTTAAAGACTTAACAACGCTACAAAACCATGATAATGAATTACTGGCTAATGGCACAAATCATGAACTCAGTTCCCAATAAATATTGCACTGTTTACTTTTGCCAAGTGAAAAGCAAACCAGTTCAAACAACTTTAGAAACAAGACCTTCAATGTGACATTGGATTGGACAATATGAGCAACAAATGCATCTATTGGAACATATACACAGAAGCAAAAAGAAAGGCACAAGCACACTCTTAGGCACACGTACCAGGATAATTATCATCGTGCATAGAGAAGGAATTTCATGGCCAGTAGAATAAGCATGTCTCAAAAGTTGGAGCAAAGAAATTAGAAATTGTTCGAAGAAACAATTTACTTCATCAAAAAATCTCACAAGCCACTGAAAGACCCACTGCCAATTTGAACTTGGTAGAACTATTCTTTTGTCAAATCAGCAGTAGTAATCATTATTGATCACTTTTACTTTCCAAGCAATGCCTGAAGTTTATGATATTCTTACCTTATTCAATGAGGAATCACTTTGTTCTTCAAGCTCTCGCATCATTTCTACTGTCATCCCAAACCATTCGTCAATCCAAGCAAAACAATTCCGATGACTTTCAAGGAAAAGTGATCTTTCACCCTGCAAAAAGTGCATCTCAACATGAATAGGGGTTTTCCAAGTAATTCTTACTTATGCAAATGGATAACTTGAAGATTATTGCAACGAAATTAAGCAAAACTAAAATTAAAAAAAAAAAAAAAAGAAATCAACAGCTAGGGACCAGTGAATATCACAAATGGAGGAGCACACAGATATTTTGGTATGTTGTAAGAATGACTCTGCACATACAGATGTCTACTCTTGTCATTGAAAGATCTTAGGCTGAAGCATAGTTAGAAAAACTACAGGTGACAACAATCCTAAAAGTCCAACGAAGAGTTTTGAAATCATTATGTAAATGTCAAAGGGGTAGATCATTTTCAGACAAAAGGTTATAAAGATGTACCGTTGAAAAGAACAAGGACAAGGATATTATCCTTTAGAACTCTGCATCAAAAACAATTATCTCTAAATTTCTACGAATATAAGAAATAATACCGCTAGAAATGCTTGTTCCAGTCGACTACCAAAGCCCCAGTATGGAACATCTACTGTCACCAACTTGTATGCTGTCATAATCGGATTACACCTATCCTGAGAATACCAACATGCAAAAAAAGTCATTAAACCACAAGTCAAATATGCACCAGGATTAAAGACAATGCCATTTTGTTTAAGCATCTAAATAATTCTGCAAGTAGAAAGAACATTCACAAAATTATTTGTTGCTCGTCATTTAACCTGAAAAAACTGCCAGTGCAATAAAAGGTTCAAATAGGTTATACTAAAAGCAACATCATATTATCCAGTTTCTGCAGTGCAATTTGAGCCCCTTCATAAGGAGATTAATGATAAATCTTATGATATTCTTTTGGTAGACCAAAAAGGCCCAAACTAGAATTTAAAAGTGAAAATTGGAAGTGAGTCTCTCTAGATATAGTTGTTTGGAGATAAGTTCTGTAAGGAAACTTATAAGGGGCTAAATCCATGTTTAAAATTATATGCAATGACTTAAGTCCACTTTTTTTTTTTATCTTAAAAATACTCTTCCTTGAAAGGAAGTTAATCTTTTCTCTCTCATATTTATCTATATCCATATACGGGTAAACAGTTTGACTAATATTAAAATGTTTCCTCTCTCTTATCTATATATATATATATAGTAACATTAAAAAAAAAATAGTTACATTCAAATACAAAAAAAAAGTTACTATGAATTTGAATAGTAAAATTCAAATTCATGTTACTTTTTTTTTTATTATGTTACTGTTTATGTTACTGCTTTTGTTGAGTGTTACTATTCATGTACTATTATTTTTGAACATGTTACTGTATTTGTTGACCATGTTACTACTGTTATTTTCCTAAATATTAATATTTAATGTTACTAATTTTTCTTTTTGAATATTACTATTTTTTGTATTTGAATTATACTATTTTTTGCGTTTAAAATTGAGAGAAATAATTATTGTTAAGTATGTTACTGTTGTTATTTTTTAAAAATATTAATATTGAATTTTTCAATTTTTTTTATATTTAAATGTTACTATTTTTTTGTATTGAAATGTATTATTTTTTGTGTCTAAATGATAACTTTTTTTTGTATTTGAATATTAATATTTTTTATTTTTAATGTTACTATATATATACACATATATATAACCTATATATAGATAGATAAGAGAGAGGAAAAATTTTAATGTTAATTAAACTCTTAACCTATATATAGATATAGATAGATATGTGAGAGAAAAGATTTTAATGTTAGTCAAACTCCTAAGATTTAGGAGTTTTTAATTTTTAATTTTATTCCAAAATTGACAAAAAACGGACTTCATAATAAATAAGTTTTCTTAACGGATTTAAGTCCAAACAAGTCCATATAGGGGGACCGGTCTCCAAATTTCCCAATTTAAAATATAAATGGTTTATGCCGAAGGGAGACTTGAACTAAGCAAACTAGAGGAAGAGAGGCAAGAAGGGGTAGTAAGATTTGCTACAAAAAGAGAAAAACTATCCTACATTTAATCCTCTAAAAGGAAGGGGCATTAAAAAATCAAAAAAAAAAAAAAAAAAAAAATACAGGAAGATATTGCTAAGCACGTTAGTTTCAGCTGGTAAACCAAGTACATTCTAAGTGACAAATTCCAACAAAAAAATAAAAATAGATGTAAATTTGAGAGGTGAAGGAATGTCGTTGGGATTTATTTAAACTCTAAATAAAAAAATCAATTGAGTTTAATGGAGCATGTACCCCCCACCTCTCACACACAGACACATACAGAAAGACAGAGAGAAGGGAAAGGAAGGATATCTAAAGAAATTTTACACTTACAGCATATAGAATGAAGCCAGACCATGCTAAAAAGCAGTCTTAGATGCCCTACCACCATGAAAGTAAAACATCTCCTTGTTTTTCAAATGAGAATTTCTTTTTTCACAAAAAAATTAGCCCATTGACAAGATGGAGACAAAACTATGCAATTATACTGGATATATTGACCCAAGTAAAATTACACTAAGTGAAGCTGAAATGAAGTACACCATAGTAATCATATTAGTAAAATTAAAAGCAGTATGTAAGAAAAAAAATATAAAGGAAAGAAAAATTAAGATCTTTTATTGATATGGCAGTTGAGAAAACTTATACTGTGTTGTGCCCCTTTTGACATCATTCTATCTTCTAGTCATTGCCTCTTCAAAAATGACACCAACATAAAAGTTCTGTACTTAACTGATATGATTGCACTTTCTATATCAACTTTCTTCTAAGTTCAGGGCCGATAAAAAAAAAACTCAGCGTAAAACCGTAGACCATGGTAATCAAAACCGGAAGTTAACACTAAATGATAAATGTGGAAAGTACATTAGATAAATATGCTGCCCTACATATATGTGAGGATAATGTGAAGTACAGTACAACTTGGTATCCACTGAAATAAAAAGACAAATATTCAATGGAAACCAAATTGGGAACTACATCAGACAAAAAAAAAATAGAGGTCACATGATGTGTGAAAACTTACCAAAAAAATTGAAGAAAATGGTGTGAATTTTTACGTCTATAAAGCAGATGCTCATGCAATACATCTGAAATATAAAAAACGCGAAAAGAGAACCTACTTTCCAATAACTTTCAAATATTTTCAAGATCATCTTAATCACCCTAAATTCTAGCAGAAAGAAAATATTATGCAAATCACCAAGTATGGATTAACAAGCAGCCTCTGCAAAACGACTTCCCGGTGAATATGACAAGTCTAAGAAGTCAAGCAGAAAATTAAAGGATCTCAATTTGCAAAGTGTTTTTGAGGATAAGAAAGAATTCATCACTTGCTCAATCTGTCATCCAAACAGTACAAAAGTTTAAGCTAAGTTAATCATTTAAGCTCACGAGTACTCCTCAGCCTGACCACATGCTTATAATATGGTGTGGTATCTCATGCATCATGATTGAGACCAACAAACCTTTGATTGGTTGATATGGGCATAAGTGGGGGTTTGTTCTCTGAGAGAGCACTATTACTTTATTAGGAATGAAAAGATTTTTTCAAGTTCATAAAAAAAAAAGTGTAATACCTACATTCCTGTTACCTGGACCAACAAATTACTAATCACGGCCAAAATTTTATGCTTCTATATTTGAAAAGGATTTTCTATCAAGTACCGTGCATCTTCTTGGAATCCAACGACTGAAGACTGTCCCATAGTTATCTTGTATAAAGTTTTTTTGTCAAAAGATATAATAACTAATAAGATCTAGGACCGGAAATTGGATGATTGCAGGGACTACGGTCCAGAATATATTCTTTTATTGGGGGTTTAAGTAATGCCAATAGTTCAAAACTTTGACTAAACCTTATAGTAAGCAACAGAGTCAAGAATCTCAGATCCACAATATGCATATTCCACTAGATCTGTAATGTGAAAAACAAAAGAATTTCAAATTAGTGGTCATAAAACACCAACCTGCCATCCCTCTAAAAGTGGACCACGCCCAGTCCTTGCCGATTGGAATTTAGACAGATCAATACCGCTAATTCCAACTATGTAACCCCAATAGTCGCTTGCAGCAGAAGCAATATCAATATTTTCCAGCTGTCTGTTTGCTAGTTGTTCTTTACTCAGACAATGCACCTAGATGGTCAAATTCCCAATTGAATGAGGTCAATAAAACCAACAAGAAAGAATAAGGTGCCAAACTCAAGAAAACATATTTACTTTCAGAAGCTTACATTTTCCAAGTGTCCATTGTCAGCTTTGTGTATAGTTTCAATAGTTAAACAAAACTTAGGGAAGTATGGGCACTGCAAAAGAGCAAACTTGATGAGTTCTGTTTAATTGAAATGTTTACCAAAGGACATTTGAAAGGTTGAAAATGTAGTTACCTTAATTACTGTGTAACATCATGTCGAATGTTGGACAAAAACAATGTTTATATCAATACGAGATCAAGAAGAAACATATAATGCTAAGAGAGGAACAAAGTGGACAAAACAAACCTGATTTACATCTTGGATATGCATTCCAGGCTTCCTCTTGCATCACTAGAGTATCTGGGGGAGCAAAGGCGGTAAGCCAAGCAGGAGCTTTGCTGCAAAAAGTAGGGCCATGGAGCAATACATTTTAGTCAACATTTAACTAAGCAGAAGGTTCTAACACAATCTTCTTTTACAAAGAGAAGTCATACACATAGGCGGAGCCACTTGAGGAACAGAGGCCATGTGTATTTCAAATAATTTTAAATATATTTAAATGTGTCCACTCTATTTTTTTTTGTCCTATCAATTAGTATAGTCTCATACCTAAATAAAGTTTTGGACGCACGCACTTAGGACACTTTACAAATACCATCTAGATAAGTTTTTGACATGTCTGACTCATTTTTTAAGTTATTGTCAAAATTATAACGAGTGATCAATAATTAATAGTATGATTGGTTAAGGTGCTTAAAATTCCTTTTATTTATTCTAGCGAAGAGGGATTTATAAGGTGCTTAGAATTCCATTTATTGTTGGTGTTAAACAACAATTTACTCCAAAAGTTTTATTTGTTAGAGAAAGTATAATTAAAGTATTTATACTTCAAGATGCCCCTCGCGTGTGGGCTAAATTTTAGGTATAGCACATGAAATTCTTTATTTTTTTAATTATTAGGGTGGCAGAAAGATTCAAATACATGACCTTCTATTTAGATACCATTTGTTAGGAAACTGGGGAGCCTGTTGATCGAAGGCCCAATATACATGTCTGAAACTCATACCCACCTAAAAGTTAAGCTTATAAGTTATAATATCATGTTAAACAACTATCTACTCCAAAAGCTTAAACTGTTAGAGAGAGTGTAACTTAACTGTTTATACTTCAAGCGTTCACAAATCACATGATTTATATTTTGGTCGGTGGAGCAAAGGTTCAACTATGTGATGCCATAAAGTTACTTGAAAAAGAAGATACATCCTTAATATAAAGAAGCTCCTATCAGTAACAAAATTGTAACAAAATTGGGTACAAGGTAGAATCACTTCCCATCTATATAATAAAACATGACTCATTTTGAATCTCTTAATTTAGCTTAGCACAAGAGTAATTGAAATTCATTCAATCCAACGGCTCAAAATAATCACCTATATAATAAATCATGACAAATTTTGAATCTTTTAATTTATCTTAGCACAAAAGTGGTTAAAATTCATTCAATCTAACGGCTCAAAATAATCACCAAAAAATTTTTCAACTTGAAAATCCCACCCAGCCTATATATTTTCATGCTAATCACGGCCAAATTGCCCCCAATCTATATAATAAGGGAGCTAAGAGTCTAAATCCTATCCCCATATATTTTTTCCGCTCATTTTTATAACAAGTTAAATTATTTAATTTTTGATTATATTTTGACTCAATACAATTTTTATTTCAGACATGTTGATATTTTGTTGGGTCACGTATTTTAAAAAAATTTTGTTCACTTTTTTTAAATAATAAAAATTAATTTTAAATTTTACAATAAAATATAGTGGGATCAATTTCTTAAAAATTAATGGATAGTAGGAAAAAAATAATGTTATTTCATATAGTGGAATCAATTTTTTTGCCGCTTGAATTTTATATTGTATCGTGTCTTCAATAGCAAATTTGGGTTGCAATCTGGAATCCCTACCCATATCCTTAATATGCCTCGGGGAGCATGCTCCCACCCCCCCCAGCCAACTTTTTGAAATTATACTTTATATCTCCAAATTTATTTTATTGATTTCACTTTACATGGCATTCTCAAGCATACAAACAAGTATTAAGAGATCTACACAAATTCTATCTCAGTTTACTCGGTTTTTTGTACTTTGCAGAGACATAATGAAATATAGTTAACTTTGCATGATTATGTGATAAAATTACACTTAAGTTGTTGATTTTTTTGATTGTTTGATTAATTGATCTAAAGTTTTTCTGCATCTACATAGTTTAACAAGTTCGAATTAATCTCACCGATTTCATCAAAAATGAATACAATTAAAATGTGACCATTGATGACAACCCATTGAATGACCCCCACTGAATAAAAGTTTATAGTTATGCCACTCTTTGGCCCCCACACAAGAAAAAAAAAACTGTCTCCATCCCTACATAGTACGATGATTAGGGTCCTCTTTCAAGCTGAAACAACTGATAATCCAAGCTCAAAAGGTTTGTAGGGGACAATAGGCAACATTTTCTAAGGGAATAAAATTATAAATGCAAAGGTTTGGTCGTGTGTGGCCTTAGGAGTGTGTGTCATGGTGTTTGAGGTAGAATCAAGAGCAAAGATCACCCTGGTAAAGCATGAATCGAGTCCTACAATGATGGAAATTATCAACATGATGCTAACTTTGGATCGAAGGAAGGTTCACTGCAATTAATTCTGCAGGGTTATCACTAAGGTCTTCTCTCAAAGCTGCAAAGGGGACATGCTTGAGGAAAGGTGTTTAATGTGCTAGACACCATTTTTATCCAAGGTAACAGCTCCATACCTTCTGAGAGTACCTAATCAAATGTCTTGTCCAGAGGTATTTCATGTCTGCCTTCACTATCCTAGCATTGGTGGAAGAGAGACTTGAAGAGTCCGAAGGGCCTTTGTCATTTTGTTTTCTATCTCAATGTCAATTATCACTTGTTCTTATTTGATTTTGTTTTATTTTGTCTTGATAACATATGGACTATGGAGAATTGGGAAACCATTATATAACATTGTCAAGCCAAGACTGGTAGGCAATTTGGTGAATTACATTGGAAAGGATAGTGGAAAAGAAGTCTTAAATAAGACGTATGGTGCAAGAGGTGAAACACCACCCTTAACCACAGCAGAGTTATATCANCCCCCCCAGCCAACTTTTTGAAATTATACTTTATATCTCCAAATTTATTTTATTGATTTCACTTTACATGGCATTCTCAAGCATACAAACAAGTATTAAGAGATCTACACAAATTCTATCTCAGTTTACTCGGTTTTTTGTACTTTGCAGAGACATAATGAAATATAGTTAACTTTGCATGATTATGTGATAAAATTACACTTAAGTTGTTGATTTTTTTGATTGTTTGATTAATTGATCTAAAGTTTTTCTGCATCTACATAGTTTAACAAGTTCGAATTAATCTCACCGATTTCATCAAAAATGAATACAATTAAAATGTGACCATTGATGACAACCCATTGAATGACCCCCACTGAATAAAAGTTTATAGTTATGCCACTCTTTGGCCCCCACACAAGAAAAAAAAAACTGTCTCCATCCCTACATAGTACGATGATTAGGGTCCTCTTTCAAGCTGAAACAACTGATAATCCAAGCTCAAAAGGTTTGTAGGGGACAATAGGCAACATTTTCTAAGGGAATAAAATTATAAATGCAAAGGTTTGGTCGTGTGTGGCCTTAGGAGTGTGTGTCATGGTGTTTGAGGTAGAATCAAGAGCAAAGATCACCCTGGTAAAGCATGAATCGAGTCCTACAATGATGGAAATTATCAACATGATGCTAACTTTGGATCGAAGGAAGGTTCACTGCAATTAATTCTGCAGGGTTATCACTAAGGTCTTCTCTCAAAGCTGCAAAGGGGACATGCTTGAGGAAAGGTGTTTAATGTGCTAGACACCATTTTTATCCAAGGTAACAGCTCCATACCTTCTGAGAGTACCTAATCAAATGTCTTGTCCAGAGGTATTTCATGTCTGCCTTCACTATCCTAGCATTGGTGGAAGAGAGACTTGAAGAGTCCGAAGGGCCTTTGTCATTTTGTTTTCTATCTCAATGTCAATTATCACTTGTTCTTATTTGATTTTGTTTTATTTTGTCTTGATAACATATGGACTATGGAGAATTGGGAAACCATTATATAACATTGTCAAGCCAAGACTGGTAGGCAATTTGGTGAATTACATTGGAAAGGATAGTGGAAAAGAAGTCTTAAATAAGACGTATGGTGCAAGAGGTGAAACACCACCCTTAACCACAGCAGAGTTATATCAAGATGGGCTGGAAATTGGAAAAGCATAATGAAAGAGTGGAAGGAGTCTTTGGGGAATAGTCAGAGTGCGCATATCTGGCGACTGGCACAACAATTGATGAGGCAGCCCTGACCCCAAGTTTGTTGTAACATACCTCTTTAGAATGGCAGCAGAAAATAATGACCGAAGTTAGTTTCACTGTAGGAGATAGAAGCCTCAATTAAGTAGGTCCATAAATGGTAGTTGAAGTCATGGATTCTTCGTCATACCTATTACATTTAGCCAGTGTCAATGCAAAAATGAGATGATGTGGTGCACTGGACACGGCAGGGAGAGGAAAAAAGTAAGGTGTCATCTTATTACAGAGTGTTGGTTTGAGGGCATACCAAGTATTGGAGCACAATGCGATTTCATTATTTTCGGTTTCTCACATGAACGACTGCAAAACGCCTTTCTTTGGCAGAATTCTTTCTAATAGAGGTACTATATAAAAGATAATTGTCTGCAAGGTGGCTTTTATTGAGTGATTACCGCTTTTGAGAAATGAGGGTATTAAATATCTTATAATTAGATGGGGAAGCTAATGCCACTCTATGTGAAAAACAAAAGAAATGGTTATCTATTTTTGCATTGTGAGGTGATGGACTTGGGGTATCACTTGCTTTACCTTAGAAGGATGTTGTTGATGAATGTAGTAAGCATGGGGAGTTAATGTGGAAGGTAATGCTTTTACACTTTCCTAGTGTGTGTCAAAGTAGAATATAGAGCTCATTTCACATAGTAAAGGTGCCAAGGTTCAAGTTGAAGCACTTGCTTTACTAATGGTTCTGAGGATTTTTTAAATCAGAATTTTGTTCCTAATAGGTTTGTATATATAAAGTGTACTAGGTCGTAGACCTGGCGACTTCCCAATGAAAATTAGAAAGAATAACTTCCAGGTTAAAATTTAAGAATCTTAATGCACAAACAAACACTAGATGCATACATGCATGTTGGAAGGTGTATGTCAAATAATGGAGAAAAAAATAAAATCTAGAATTCAAGACACGAATGTATTAGCTATCATTAAGACGAATTTACCGCCTTTCCAATAAGAATTGTTAGTGCAAAAAGGACTAGAAGGTAAATTGTCCCCACGATACAAGGGCCCATATTTACGTTCTACTATTCAAAGGATTTGTCACAACCTAAGAATAGCCTGAACTTTCGGAATAAAAAAGGATAATGCCACAAGTAAGCAAGAGTGTTTCAGGAGGAGGAATAGTAGAAAATGTTTTGGTGTATTTGAAATGGGAAGAAGGCACTCCAATTTATAGAGAATGAAGAGGTGCAAAGAAGCCCTTTCATTAAAAGACACATTTTCGTATCAAGACACGTATGCATGAAAAGGGACCTATTCATAAGAAAATGTGAAAAAGTCATCCATTCATTAAAAGACACCCATTCATCACAACACATGAAGAAGCTAAAGCCCCTGGTCTTTCTTTTGATTCGGGCATATCTTTAATATGAATATGAATCTAGAAATTCCCATTGAATGACCAGCTGAGATGATAAGAACATTTGACGACATTAGCATCCAAAAAAGCTCATGACATCTCGGGAGTAGCTCTAAGGGGAATATCCGACCTTCAAGAATCTACTGCTTGAAAATCTATCCCTTGCTTACCAAAACTGACATCCATATAATACTATAAGGAATATGCCCATTACAACTTTACAAATTCACCTATTTATTCGTTCATGGAAAGGTTATCCATTCATAACAATATATGAGGGGTTACAACTATACACGTCATTGAAATGTCTAACATGTAGGGTAGACAAGAATATGTAGCTACCAAAACATATTGCTAAGTTGTTCTATTATGAAGTTCATCAATGAAAATAGTCCCAATATGGAGGGGTGCAACAAATAATTTCAAAATTACAACTAGAATTATGTTCCAAAGTACCTTTGCAGGCGATAAATCTTTAATGTGAATTGACCCTTCCCCAGTACATTATCCTCAAAGGGTCTGTTCTCTAAAACCTCCACCCCTTCATTACCCTTTGTGTTTTGTTGCTGCAGTTTCATGACCACGTACATCTGAGCAATCTGATACTGTGTTTGAAATCAAATTAAACATCTTAGATACACTACTCATATCAGATTAATAAATTATCAAATATGTTACCTTGATATACCTCGTCCAGCGATAAAGGCATGACAATCCGACTTGAGAAAAGCCCCAAAAAAAGAGAATGTTGGTCAAGGAAATTCCCAGAAACGACACAATTTTCTGGATTGAACTCGAAAGCGGAAATTGGAGAAAATTGAAACATCCCTATACACTTCAATACACATAGAAAACTTCCATCTTACTAGAAAATGTAAAATCAGTATAAATTGAAAGAACACATCATGGAGTTGATAAATTCATCCACATAAATTATACCCACTTGATAAAATCAGTATAAATTTAAAAAAAAAAACACATCGAGTTGATGAATTTAAGTAAACAGATTACACCCACTTTGACAAAGTTACATCTGTAATAAAAGGATACAATTCCTTCATCTGAACCATTCTTTGCAATAATTCTTCAAGCAAACAAACGCTTCCAAGATCCAAAAAGTCGAAAATCGCACGACTTTATCTTACAATTAGAACCACAAATGCTGAACAGAAGATGGGATGTGAATGCAATTCGGAGAGAGAAAGAGAGAGATGGAGATTAGTTTAAGTTTTTGTGGGAACAATAATGATGAAAGAATAAATAAAGTGGATAGTTTGACATGTTCGTAGAAAATGACTTTAACGTAAGGGACGGTGGTGGTGGTAAAGATTGATGCGTAAGCGTGTGTGTCGAGTAGTTCGAACTTCGAAGGTTCACGAAAACTGTCTTCGTCTGACTTAAGCGTCGGCTAGCGACGACGGTGGGCCTTTGGAACGAATCGTCTCGCGCTCGTTCGAAGGAAAAAGTAGAACCCAAAGTTTGTTCAAAAAACATGGACTTCTAAATAGGGCTGTTAGTCGAATCAGTATTTTTTAATTGAGTTTTAAAAATTATTCAAATTCGACTCGTTTAGTAAATAAGTTAAATCTGAACAAGTCCAACTTGAGTCAAGTCTGAGCAGAGCTCAAATATTTGTATATAAACGAACCGAATTTATCAAATTTGAATCGCATATTTATACATAAACGAATCGAGCTTATCGAATTTGAGTCACACGGGTAGGACTTATTTTTTAAACTAGTGTAAAAACTTATTCAAGTTCAAATTCGTTTAAACGAACTGAATCCAAGCCAAACTCACTCCAATCTCAAATAATTCAATTCGATTAACGATTCTCAAATAATTCAATTTGATTAACGATCCTATTTATAAACGTAGACGTATTTGAGTCAAATTTAAATAATATTTTAAAATTAAATAATAAAAAATTTATTTTTCATAAATATTTTAAAAATAACCTATCTAATCAGAGATAAAATTAATCAAAATATAAATAAATTAATTCAAATACCACTGACCCGTCCACCGGAACAAAAAAATAAAGAAGGAAAAAGTTGAAACCGATTAGCTGCCTAACGTGGACTTTCATTTCAAACGTCAAAATTGTGGAAATTGTGAACATGTGGCACTGATGGGTCGAACTATTAGACCCACATACATGTCCATAATTTTGTTTTAGGTTTTTGATGTAATGGAATAAGAGTAGAGCTGATGAGCTGTCAATCGATCCATTTGTCTAAATTTGAATTTGATAAAAAAATTTTGAGTTTTAAATTCGATTTATTTACCCGATGAATTTTAAAATTTTAATTCATATTAGTATTTGTTAATAATTGATTATCTCATTTGATCTAAAAATTTTGAATCTCAACTTTAATAATTTTATTAAATTTATGTTAACTTTCAACCTAATTTATCACACAATTATTCTATTCAATAATTTTACGTAAATCTCAATTATAATCTAACAAAGTTTGTATGTATATATAATAATTTCTCTCAATTATCAATTAAATATATATGTGTGTGTGTGTGTATATATGTCACACCCTAACTGACTTAAGGGCACAATGGCGGGTCTTAGTGGCACCTTGTACCAAGGCACGAAATGAGATGGAATCAAAGTGATGCAGTTAAATGATTCGAAGGATGGGTGTGAACTGTGATAGTATGAGACCACTCAGTTGAGCACGACAGCACACAGTGGACTCAATTGAGACAATATTGGTGCATGACTTCTAATTGCATTGCATAAGCTTGACCTAGCATGCACTTTGGTTCATGGGCAAGGTTGACTGTTGAATTGTGGGCACAAGGCTAGCACATGGCTGCTCAATGCATGTGAGCAAGAGGATGTGGGCAGGATTATGTGAATAGCTTTTGGTGCATGACTCAGTCAAAGTAGTTGTTAAATATGACCTAGTCTGAGGAAGGCAGTTATGGGCGTTCTTAGCCACATTTTGGTCCAGGTGCATGCAGATAAAAACAACTCCACATCAAGTGTTGAATGGGTGGAACTACTTGCCAGGTGTCGCGCAGAGAAATAGCCTTGTTAACCAAGTCTACTAGAGAATAGATAGATTATTGTAACAACCCCTTGACAGATGGGAGTGCATCTGCTGTACTTCTTGTATAAATAGGGATACTTGGGTATTCTTTAGAGGCAGAAAGAGTGTTCTTGCTTTGAGTTCCTTGTAATTGTAGAGAGTTTCAATATAAGTTTTGGGAGTGTTTTTCCAGTAAATTCGTGTATTACTTTTGTGTGAGTTTGTGTGTCCTTATACTTGAGTTTGTGTGGTTGGTTGCAGTGGCAACGCCTCCACGGGTAACCTTAAAAGAAAAACGAGTAATTATCTCATGACAGTTTAATATCAGAGTGTTGGTTTTGGCAGAAAGATTGACTCATGGCTGGCGGAACGAATGCAGATTTGAGAGAAAGGGTGGCACGTTAGGAGGAATTGGTTAGTCCTCCATAGTCTGGTGATGCTATGGCCTTTTTTGTGCAACTTGAGTTATTGTACCAACGGTTTGAAGAAATGCGGGTGTCACAAGAACAACTTCAAAAAGACTGAATATGATCACTTTAGTCAGTTGAAAAACGAAGTTGTTGATGTGCTGACCACGATTTGGGGAAAAACGGAGTTCCCTTAAGACGAATGTATCACTACTCAAGAAAGCACTACAAAATTCCCCTTCTGGTTCTGACAGTGAAAGCATGCAAAAAGCAAAGGTGTTTGACCCTAAGCCTTTCACAGACAGTCATAACACTAAAGAGCTTGAAAACTTTTTGTGGGATATGAGACACTATTTCATGGTAGTTTGTACCCCAGATGTCAAGAAAATAGATCTCACTAGCATATACTTATCCGATGATGCTAAATTATGGTGGCGTTTACGATCAAAGGACAAGTCTCGTCCTCAAATCACTATATGGGATGTTTTATCCGCTGAAATGAATGAGCAATTTCTTCCAAGCAACATGGCTTGGCAAGCCCGTGATGCTTTGAGAAAGCTTCGACATATAAGCATAGTGAAGGAATACGTGAAGTAATTTTCGTCTCTAATGCTTAACATCAAAAACATATCGGTNCTATATGGGATGTTTTATCCGCTGAAATGAATGAGCAATTTCTTCCAAGCAACATGACTTGGCAAGCCCGTGATGCTTTGAGAAAGCTTTGACATATAAGCATAGTGAAGGAATACGTGAAGTAATTTTCGTCTCTAATGCTTAACATCAAAAACATATCGATGGAAGATAAACTGTTCAACCTCATGTCTGACCTTCAAACTTGGGCGCAGGCTGAACTTTGTCGGCAAGTAGTGAAAGATTTACCCGCTGTTATATTCGCAGCAGACACGTTGATTGATTAAAAGAAGTAGGCTAACCCTCTAAAGAAAAAGTCTAAAGGGAAAACCAAGTTTCAAAAGAAGGATAAGGAGAAGAAGAAGGTCGAGAAGTCTAGTAGCACCGATAAGCAAATTGACAAACCCTCTGTGTCAAAAGGAGGTGCTGACTCGGGTTGTTTTATCTGTAATGACCCTCATCGCATCAGAAATTACCTCAAGAAGGAAAAACCCAGTGCCTTCATGATTGAGGATGCTGACCTTTCAGACGAGCCTACATGAGTCAATCCATTGCAGCTCCTTAATGCAATTCACAAAGAGGAGACGGTGGCAAGGAAGGGATTGTTGTTCGTGTAGATTCATATGAACAATATAGTTGTCCAGGTGATGGTTGATACAGGTGCGACGCATAACTTTGTTTCTGATCAGGAAGTGCAGCGACTTGCTTTGACTTTGACGAAAGACTCTAGTCAGATCAAGGCTGTCAATTCAGAAGTAGAACCAGTAGGCGGTGTTGCTAGAGAAGTCCCATTAAAAGTTGGTGATTGATAAGGACTATGCGACTTTATTGCAATCCCTCTTGATGATTTGTAAGTGATCCTTGGGCTAAAAGTTATTACTAAGGCAAAGGTGTCAGTGATGCCTCATTTGCATGGGATGTTCGTGATGGACATGCCCAATCCCTGTCTTGTATCCCTCATCAAGGCCAAGTCTTCGGGAAAATGTTGTCTGCCTTGCAATTGAAAGATGACTTGTGAAAATGAGTGTTATAACTTTAGAATTGATTACACAAATGCAAATTGTTGTGAAGTAATATAATACTCGAAAGCCTGAGGTCGAACCACAAAAAATTGAGAAAACTTATAACACAAATAAAAATAAAAGAAAATTGCTTTGAAAAAATTATTGTAGAGATTTTGAAATTAGAAAACAATAAATTTGGTATTAACACAATAATTGAAAGTACCAAAATATCGGGAATACCCTTTCAAATCCACTCGATAATTATTGATAATCCAGTTTTCGAACTCAATTGAGAATTAGTTGAGAAGTGATTTCAATTAGAATATTTAACGGTGATAATGTAAAAACATCAAAAATTATAATTAATGAATTATTTGAATAAATATAAAAATTTACTTATTGATCACAAGTATTCATCGTACCCGGAATCTACGATAAATCAAGCTTTCCAAAAGGTAAACTTTATTTTATTATAAATAATAAATCAACTATCTTATGA